ATCTAACAAAATGAAGTAATCGCACGTCTTCTGGAATGGGCTGTGATAGACCCTGGAACCTGGGCCCCCTGTGCTTGGTAAGTGGTAGCAAAACAGGCCCGCAATCATCTGTCTATTGTTTTTCTTCCCTAAATGTAGAGCCTTACTTTTTTTACCATTTAATTTCATTTTGTTAGATAGTGCCCAATGTTCAAGTTTGTCAGGAGTGACTGGGGTTTGTCAAGATTCTTCTGTATCTTAAGCCTGCTCCTGGAGTGTTGGCTATTCTGTCAGCTTGGTGTCATCTGCAAATTTGATGAGTTCCCCATTTATCCCCTCATCCAGATCATTGATGAAGATGTTGAAGAGTCCTGGGCCTAAAACAGAGCCTTGGGATACTCCACTGCATACCTCCCTCCATGCAGATGGGCAACTTTTTAAAGACTTGGTGAACTTTAACTCCCAGAATTCCTGTGCAATGTGGGAGTTGAAATCCACCAAGTCTTAAAAGCTGCCCAATTTGGGGACCTCTGCCATGGGGAGACCCCAAAACCTTTCTTCCATCAGTCACTTTTTGATCTATCGTTTCATCACTGAATCTCAGCCAAAGATTCTCAAAATAATCAACAAAGAGTAAATGCAAGAAAAAAGTCATTCTCACAGCTTTGAAATCAGGGGAGGGTGGAGTAGTTGAAGCCCCACCCCTCAACGAGCAAGGATGGCTAGGGAATTCTGGGAATTGAAGTCCATCTTCAGGTTGCGTGGAAACTGAGGAAAAAGGGCTGTAGGCAGTGCTTCAGAGGGCCATAACTCATAATAAGTCGAGGACTACCTGCATGTGATTTATTAGATTTATGCCCCCCCAACCTTTTTTCCTGTTTCCAAACATTAAAAGTTACAATATCACTGAAAAAAGCGACTTCTGACTGTCTTTCACACTTACGACCGTTGTGACATCATACGGTCCCATGATCAAAATTCAGACTCCTGTCAACTGACTCGTATTTCTGACGGTTGCAGTGTCCTGGGGGGTCATATGATTCTCCTTTGTGACCTTTTGGCAAGGGAAGTCGATGGGGAAGCCACATTCACTTAAAAATCATATTACTAACTTAACAACTGTAGTGATTCGCTTAACAACAGGGGCAAGAAAGGTTACAAAACAAGGCCAAAAACGCTTCACCAGTGTCTCACTTAGCAACAGAAATTGTGGACTCAATTGTGGTCGTACGTCGAGGACTACCTGTATAACCGATGGCAACTCCGATCATCCCTTGAGGCAAAGCAGGGCGGAGCAACGCCAACCAACAAGCTATTTGCATAGCAGAATATCGGTAGTCCTCGACTTACAACCATTCATTTAGCGACCATTGAAAGTTACAATGGCATTGAAAGAAACGACTTCTGACCGTTTTCACCGTTACGACTGTTGCAGCATCTACAGGTGATCATACAGGTGATCAAAACTCACGACATTCGACAGCTGATTCATATTTATGACGGCTGCAAAATCAGTGAGGAAACCAAATTCACTTAACAACCGCATTATCAATTTAGCAACCGCAGTGATTTACTGGACAACCGTAGCCAGAAAGGTGGCAAAACTCACGTAACTGTCTCAGTTAGGAACAAATTTTGGGCTCACTTTTGGCCATAAATTGAGGACTACCTGTAGTTATGCAGAAACAGGTAAACCTCGAATTACAACCATTCGTTTAGCAACCATTCAAACCTGCAACAGTACTAAAAGCGCCGACTTTCAACCACAACTCATACTTGCGTCCTTATGGTCATGTGATCATTTCGGGGGACTTGGCAGCTGACTCACAGTTACAACAGTGGCAACGTCCCCTGGGGTCACGTGGCCCCCTTTTGCGACCTTCCGAAAAGCAAAGTCCACATTCACTTAAACAACTGGGTTACAGACTTTATCAACTGCAGCGATTCACTTAATGACCGTGACCTGAAAGGTCGCAAAACGGCTCAAACCTGACTGTCACGGCTCAAATCTGACCTCACTGTCTTGCTCACAACAGAAATTTGAGGTAAAAAGGGTCCTAGGTTGAGGACTACCTACAGTCATGTGATCAAATTCGGGTACTTGGCAGATGACTCGCAGTTATGACGGTCGCAACGTCCCATGGATCACACAATCCCCTTTTGCGACCTTCCGACAAGCAAAGTCCATGAAGGAAGCCACATTCACTTAAACAACCCGGTTACTGACTTTATCAACTGTAGCGATTCACTTAACGACCATGACATGAAAGGTCGCAAAACGGCTCAAACCTGACGGCCCGCTTAACTATCAAAATTTGGGGCTCAGTCGTGAGCGTAAGTCGAGGACTGCCGATGCTCCCTGCCCGTTCACGCTACCCCTGCGAGGTAGGCCGCTGAGAAGCCCCCCTCCCTCCCCCGAGTCCGCACCTGCGCCCTGGGCACCTTCGTGGCCCTCGTCCCGCTTCTCCCGCTGGCTCCGCCGCCCCGACTCGCCCTCCTGCCCGGCGGCGGCGCTGCTGCGGCTGCCCCGGGTGGAGGAGGGGGCGNAAATTGTTATAAATACATATTAATAACAGTTATGAGATCATATAATTGTGAATGTATATATGAAATTGATAAAATTTAAATAAAAATTTTATAAAAAAATAAAATAAAAATAAAAGTCCATGTATTTGCCATTGGCTAAATAAATGAGGGAGTCCTTGTGCATTCCATGGGAAAAGCAGGGGAGGGAGAGCACTTTGGCATCCCAACTGCCAGGCTCTTACATCCTGCTCCATAATTCATGAGCCTCTTTGCATCCGGAGGCCTAACGGAGCCTTCTCAGGCATGAGGCTCCCAAGAGCTCTTCTCGGAAAAAGCCAGGCTTCAGCAAGTCCTTGGAGAAAGACGTCTCGGCTGCTTTCAACAGGAGTGAGGGTTTGCAGAAATAAATCCCTTTGGAAAGCTTGCCACTCGAGAGGTTGTGGGAACGCAACGAAGGCCAGGATAGTACATTAGGCAATTCAGGCATTGCGTCACATGTGAATGCAGTGAGGCTGCAGGGTTAAGCCAAGTGTAAGATGAAGCATGTGGGGTGAACCCACGACGACAACTGGGCCCTAAAATTTCTGTCGCTAAACGAAACATTTGCGAAATGAATTTTTGCCCCCTTTGACGCAGTTGTTAAGCAAATGACCTAAGCAGGGGGTTGGACTAGAAGACCTCCAAGGTCCCTTCCAACTCTGTTATTCTAGTCAGTGCTATTCTAAATGTTTTTTTTAAATAAAATTTATTTTAACAAAATGCTTTTGGATTAAAGATCTATCCAAAGAGTAGTTTTCCATTTAAGATACATTAATAATTTTGTTTATTCAGCATGGAACGGAGCTGAGTTATGTAGCATGAGGCTGTATAATCTGCAATATTTATGCAACTTATTCAACGAATCCAAGCTAAATAGGAAACCTTCATTTTGTTTGCAAATAATCGTATTAAAGATTCTAACTACCAGCACGAATGAGTCCGTACATTGAAAGAACACTTGACATCGCAGATCCATCAGGGTGGCAGCGCCTGTTAGCGGACATCCACTCACCTGCTGCCCGCCACGTCCCTCACCTGGTTGTGTCCCTGCCACATCACCAGCCGTCCCATTAAAGTGACTGGGACTGTCGGTGAATCAACAGCTGGTCAGAAGGGGAGCCACTCTGGGACAGAGATGATGGTGGCTGTTTAAAAAATATGATTTAAATCGAGTTGATTTAAATCAAGCCTTTTTACTAATGATTTCAATCGTGATTTAAATCAAATTCACCCATTCTGGCAGCCAACGCAGCTCCCTCCAAAGAAGTGACAAATGTGCAAATTTGGACTGGCACAAAACTACGCAGGATGCTGAGTTTTGAGCCAGCTGAAGCTTCCGGATGGTCTCCCAGGTAAGAGCGCATTATAATAGTCCAAATGAGAGACCACAAGAAGGGCCTGTTGGCCCAGCTATGTGTTACAGCTAACGCACTTCCACTTACGAGTACAGCAAAAGCTTACTCCATGCCCCATACGCCCGAGGATACTTTTCTCCGTGAGTCAGCCAATTCATTCATGTGTTAGCCCAACCGGAGAGCTGTCAACTCAACATATGCACAACAGTTAATCATTATACCAGACCAGAAAAACATCAAGCAACTTTCTTGCAATCACAGTTCCTAATGATGCCTTAGAGCAGGGGTCAATACAATACAATAGCAGAGTTGGAAGGGACCTTGGAGGTCTTCTAGTGCAACCCCCTGCCTAGGCAGGCAACCCTATACCGTTCCAGACAAATGGCTATCCAACATCTTAAAAACTTTCAGTGTTGGGGCATTCACAATTTCTGGAGGCAACTTCTGTTCCACTAATTGTTCTGACTGTCAGGAAATTTCTCCTCAGTTCTAAGTTGCTTTTTTCCTTAATTAGTTTCCACCCATTGCTTATTGTTCTGCCCTCAGGTGCCTTGGAGAATAGTTTGACTCCCTCTTCTTT